GATAAGAAGGCCCCTCTTCCTCCTGGCAATTTAGCAATTTGGGGCTTAATCTGGACCTGCCTGGAGGATAAGACGGGAAGATATACTGAGGACATAGAAATTGGAGAGCAAGTGATGGAGGAAGTGCGTGAGGTAGCGTTGGTCATTAGTCATCAGGGACACACAGAAGTTTTGGCAAGAAGGTTTCTTGGTCCTCTGCCTCCTAAAGAAAAGAGTGTGGCAGATTTTCATGTAAATACTGTGTTTGTATGATGTATACTATGATTTTTATAAACCTAGGCTGCTTGAATATGCTAACACCTAACTCTGGAAGGAAATTTTGCACCTTTCATTTCAGACTTAATCCTGTTCTTTAGATCTAAAGATGTTTTCTGCCTAGTGTTTCTTATTTGCTGTTTCAAACTAATGTAGTATAGGCTAAAAATGTGAGAAGCTGACTGAGGGCAGAAACTGGTCCTTTCTGTTCAGACTCATGCTAGTTCTCACAGACTTCTGTTCTCAAGAATTTTCCGGGTTCAGACTGACCCTCTGACACTGTGAAAGGAACTGAGAGCAGCTTGCATGTTTTAGTGCCTTGGCATGCAAGGATTTTTCTTCAGCTGAATAAAGGCTTCCACCTCAGGGGTCAGTCTTCACGGGGCCCTAGAAAGTGTGACCCAACCCAAATTAATCGTAAGAGACAACCTGTGGATACGGGTGAGGAATACAATTCCGCTGCAATTAATCGGGAGAGAGGAACAGTATGAGGGCTGTTCAGGACGCTGACCGGGGCCGTCCGCAGCGATGCTTTGGGACGTAAAACTGGTGGGCCCACGCGATGTCGACACTGTGCCTTTGCAGATCTGCGTTGGGTGCCATTCCCAACATGTTTTATTGCAATTTAATTTGAGTTGATGGTACCATTTAAAATTTCCCTCAGGTTGAGCCTGGCACGGCTTGGGATAAATGATGAATGATGTATGAGGAAAATGGCGGTTTTTGGAACTTGTTTTTCTGTGTTCTTTCCCGACAGCACAGGTCGGGTAGCTCAGGTATGAGAGGTGGCATCCTGAGCACTCTGAGCAGGTAATTCATAGCCGAGATTGCTTGTGAGGAGAACTTTACATAGGTGATTTGTAGCAGAAAGCACTTGTGATAAGCTCTGGAATCTATTGTCTTCTGTTTCAAGTTCCATAATTTTGCAAAAAAGATGTCTATAACAATAATGTGCGCACTGTAAAAATTACAAAATTGGTTTACTGATATCAGTTAGTTTTCATAGATATGTTTGTTCTAAGTTACAAAGTTCAGTTTGCTTTTCTCCATGGGTGCTTTGTTTGATGCTCATGTTTGTATGTGTTACCTAGTTACTTGAGGTACCTGTTGATGTATAACAGACAGTTTGAGGTTGCGACTGTTTATGGTTACCTGGATACTCAACTGTTGGTTCCCCTAGTTTCCTTGACTATTGTATATGTTTCTGACATCCTTGACTACCTGTTCCTAGGGGGTGTTCATTTTTCCTTTGTTGAGTGTTGCCTTGGAAACCTGCATAGTATATGAATATGTCCTTTTACTTACAGATCAGTCTGTTTCCAGACCTGGCCGTGCACGCGTCTGCGACATCTACATTTTACCTTAGCACTGGTTTATTAACTGTTGCTTGTATTAACTTTTCCTTTCAGGTATTTTCTTTTAGGTCAACTCTTCTTCATTATCACAAATATGGGACAAGGTAACAGTCGTCAGCTGTTTATTTCTATGCTGAAACATATGCTTAAGGACAGAGGTGTGAAAGTGAGCTCGCAAAAGTTGAATGACTTTCTGGAATTTATTGAACAGGTTTGCCCTTGGTTTCCTGAACAAGGCTCTTTGAATATTGATGTTTGGCAAAAACTGGGTAAAGAATTGCAGGATTTTTATGACACTGAAGGCCCTCTGAAGGTTCCAATCGATGCCTTCAGTCTTTGGATGCTCATTCGGGATTCCTTGGACAAGGGTGCGTTAACTTGTATTAATCCGTTTTCTGCTCCTTCTGCTCCTTCTGCTCCTCCAGGTTGTGACACAGAAGCGTCTAATAAGGAATGTGATTTATCTGAACAGGTTTCTGCTTTGCACTTACAAGAAACTTTTCCTTCCTCTAGAACACAGCGGCAGCCTGAAAAGGATTCTCAGGTAACACGTATACCTTTTGCAGGTTCTTCTTCTCATGCTACAGGAGTGTGTCCTCCTCAGATGCGTAAAAATTCTGCTGTGAATTCTTTACCTTTAATGTCTCCATTACAAACAAGTCTGCAGCATGCAGCTACTGCTGGAGAGGATGTGTCTGAGTTTCATGCCTTTCCAGTTATGGAACGTGATGACGGCCAGGGTAATAGAGTCAGGACACATATTCTATTTCCATTTAAATCTCTGAAAGAGCTTAAATCTGCCTGTGCACAATATGGGCCTACAGCTCCTTTTACTCAGGCTGTGCTAGAATCTATGACTACTGAAGCTTTGGCTCCTAATGATTGGAAACAAATAGCCAGAGCCTGTCTGTCAGGAGGGGAATTTCTCTTATGGAAATCAGAATTTGGGGAATTCTGTCAGGTTACTGCTGACTTAAATAGGGCTCAAAATATTCCCATTACTTTTGACATGCTTGCTGGTGAAGGTCAATATAGGGAGACAGAACACCAAATAAACTTCCCTATTGCTGTTTATGCCCAAACCAGTGCTGCAGCAAAAAAGGCCTGGAATAAGCTGCCAACAGCTGGAAGGCAAATTGAGGACTTGGCTAGGATTAGGCAGGGTCCTGATGAATTATATCAGGATTTTGAGTCTAGGCTGTTAATGGTTGCAGGCAGACTTCTGCGTGATTCTGATGCTAGCTTACAGTTTGTGAAACACTTAGCTTATGAAAATGCTAATTCTGCATGTCAAGCTGCACTTAGACCATATAGAAAGAAAGGAAATTTGTCTGATTATATCAGACTTTGTTCTGATATTGGCCCTTCCTATACACAAGGTGTGGCCATTGCTGCTGTTCTGCAAAACAAACCTGTGAAGGATGTTTTATTCCAACAACATAATAAGAAAAGATGTTTTAAATGTGGCCAACCGGGACATTTTCAAAATCAATGCCCTCGTGGTAATTGTAGTTACAAAAAAGGGAAAGGTCCTCCTGGGCGCTTTCACAGCAAACCTAGGATGATACAAAATGGACCTCAAAACTACATTAGGTCTCATCCGGGAAACGGGAGGAGGGGCCAGCCTCAGGCCCCCAGACAATATGGGGCATTTCAGAAGGGAAACAATCCATTTCGGAACTT